AACTTTCCATCCCCATGGCCAAGGAACCTGTGGGACTAATTGTGACCAGATTCGATCCCACCACCTCCAAAGCCATACTGAACTCGGACATTGCATAAAGATGTGCTCTATAGTTTCAGGGTAGATTCTGCTTGGGAAGGCTGATTTGCATAACTTACACCATCTTTCTGCTAGTCCTTTCTGTTCCAACGAGGATCTGTCAATCAGCCAGTCATTTACTGGTAGACACCTATGTTCAATCTGCCATTGGAGTGAAGCGATTTTGGCCGGTTTCTCCTTAACTGCTTTAAACCACCTGACCGACCCCAAATCTTCTTGACTAACATTCAGCTGTTCTCTCCAGCTGGTGGAAACCTTGTCTTTTAAATTAATTATAGGGCGAAGCATTCGGTAGGCTGATTTGACTTTGAGTGAATAAATATCGCTTTTGAAGGATCTGTTGCTCCTTCCTATTCTTGTGACCGAGCTCCAAACCCAATTAACCGGGTCTAGCGGGAGATCTGATATAGGGCAGTCTGGTTTAAAGGTCACCCACGAATCTTTAGTTCTGATTACCCTTATTCTGAAAATTTGTTGTGCTAGAACCCAACATGTTTCTTCTTGTCCCTTAGGAACTATTGTATAAGTGGATGATAAATAATATTTTTGAAGAAAAGATCTCCCATTATGGTCTTGGTCCTGAATTAAACCAATTGACTCCGATTGATCCCTGAAGGCGACCCAATCATTTATCATCAATTTGGGACCTCTCCTAAGAATACGATACCATTCAAGTGGGATGAGTTCAATTACCCTTTCAAGTGCTTCCCCTGAATGATGATAATATCTTAGCCTTGCCCTCAGTTTAGATGGGTCAATCCATTCATTGGTATTAGTGTCCCATATGTCTTTCACCCTCATGATGTCATTCTTAATCCATCCCTTCCAGGATGAATGCATACAATGAAGACAAACTCCTTGGGAATCGCGGATCCACCTATTATCAAACAGGGGTTGCTGACACACTTCCTCCCATCTTTCTGGCGAAAGTTTGTCTGTGAGGGGAAGTTGTCTCCATGTTTTCAACATAGTTACCCAAAAAGGATCATTTTTCAAGTCAATCCTGGCAGCTTGCCTACTGGAAGTCACATGTGTTATTATAGGATTTGAACTTCCCCTAGGAATAGACCAAGAACGATTATCTAACCATGTCAGGGGATCAATTTCTTCAGGAGTTATGAGAGCTAAACGCCTGATTTGTTCCAAGGCTAAAAATGACCATGGAGTGTGGGGGATAAACAATAACCTTTGAAACCATTGAATTGAAAGAGCTTTGACCTGGGTCAAAGGATCTAGAATCCCCAGGCCTCCCCCCACTTTTGGTTGGATGATAGACTGTCATGCTACTCTATTGATTACATTGTTATATTCATGATTACCTCTCCATAGAAAAGCAGTTAGTTGTTTTTGTAGAGATTTCAAAGAGCTGTTATCCAATGACCAAATTCCTGATTTATACCATATAGATGCGAGGATTGCATTGTTAATTATCATCGATCGACCGAAAATGGATGTGTGTTTTCCTTTCCAATTTTTCATTTTGGCCTGAGCAGGTTGTGAGATCCATTCATTATGATTCCTTGGCATGCCTTCAGCAGAAAGGGAAATCCCCAATAACCTAATAGGGGTATCTAGGGGCAACCACTTTATTTTTGGCAATTCAGGGGGTCTTCCTCCTTGATGATGGATCCACCAACCTATTGTTTTGCTACCCTAATTGATTTTCATATCTGAGAGACGACAAGATTTTTCCATTAAATTTTGGATTTCTGCCATATTTTCCTCAGAAGCATCAACCATAAGTGATAGGTCATCAGCAAAAAGAGAACAAATTGAAATTGTCTCATCTGGTATACTTGTAACCTGTATACGTCTAATATCATTATGATGCCTCAAATTTGCCGCAAGCGTCTCCATGGTAATGACAAAAAGAAAAGGAGTCAGAGGATCCCCTTGTCTAACTGATTTTTCTAGTGGGATGGGGGGTGTTACATTATTATTGACCATGACCCTTGTGGTAGCATTACTATGCAAAATTCTCACCCATCTTCTGAGGTTGGGACCAAAATTCATCTTTTCCAGGCATTTATCCAAAAAGATCCAATCGACATGATCATATGTTTTTTCAAAATCTATGAAAATGAAAGCGGCATTATGTTTAGATTGACGAGATATTTTCAGGAGTGCATTCACTAAAAGAATATTGTCCTAAATGTTTCTTTCTGTTATGAAACCTGTCTGGGATTGGTGGATGATTTCAGGAATTATTGTAGCCATACGATCCGCCAGTGTTTTCGCTATGATTTTATAAACTACTGTAAGAAGGGTTATTGGACGATAATTCCTTATATTTGTTTTATCCCCTTTTTGGTATAGCAGTGTAAGTAGCCCTTAACCTACAAATTCCCCCATTTCACCCAATTCTCATACTGCCTTATAGTATTCCATTAGATCTTCTGACATAAAATCCCATGTTGATTCCCAAAATTCTTTTTGAAATTCATCAATACCCGGGGACTTATCCTCTTCCATTAATAAGAGAGTCTTCCAGACTTCTTCTTTTGTTACAGGTTTGTCCATCAATTCTTTTTGTTCCACTGACAAAATTTTATTTAATGGCTTAAGGAATTCCTCCATCTCAAGGATACGCTGATTTTTAGGAATGTGACTATTTTGTGAGGTGAAGAGGGTTTTAAAGTAATCCCTAGCTATTTTCGAGCTTGCAGGTGTCGATGTGGCCAGGTTCAACTTGGGGTCTGCTGGGTCCTCAGGGGCTTCAATGATCGTTCTTCCTGTTCTGGCCCTAGCCATGGCAAAAAACCGCGCATCCATTGAGCCTTCCATATTTTGAACATTGAGCTTGCCTCTGATTCTTAATCCTTGCCATCGATATTCCATCAGGGACAAAAGTTGTGCCTCTAATTCTTGGAGTTCCTCAGATATTTTTTATATGACAGCTTGGTCTATAGCCTTTTCTTTCTTGTTTTGTAATTCGAAAATTTTATTCTGTAAGTCAGTTTCTTTTGCATGTTTTTATTTTGGTATTAATTTATAATATTCATTGCATTTACGGCCTAGGAAAGCCAGACCGTTGTTGAACCATTTGATATCATCATTAAAACGAACCCTCTGATCCCTCCAAAACTCCCAGACATCCCTAATATAGTTGATGAAGCAATCCATCTTGAGATGTGAGGTATTTAGATGATAAAAGTCTTTTCCTTGATCTGTTTTTTTCCTGAA